GAACATCAAGAATCCTTCAACTTGACATTCTCTAACTTACTACTGATGTATATTTCTAACAAAGAGGTATAAAACTGTACAATACATATAGTTTTATAATTAGAAATAATTAAAGTTTTAGTGGTTTTGTTGGTCGGTTGGATTTTATGTGGGTGAAGGTTGGAGGATACATTTTCTTCTGGTAATCTTTCTTTTACTAACTTGGTGACAACTGATTGAGCTAGATATTCTTCTTAAACCGTATATAAATGATTGAGCTAGATATTTCTCTGAGAATACATGCGAGCTCTTCTTTAATTGTATAGTATAAATTAACGATACCGATTAATCATTATTAAAAAAAAATGTTCGGTTTTGATATCAACTATATCAAATTCAAGTAAATGTTCTGCTCAGGCAAAATGGTATTACTAAAGTCAATTCTGGCTTCCATTCCCACCTACACAATATCCTGCTTTAAACTACCTATGAGTTTCTGCAAAAGAATACAACCAGCTCTAACTAGATCGTGGGACTCAAATCCAGAAAAATATATGTTGGGTGGCTTGGGAAAAAACTCACCAAAAGCAAGAATGCTAAGATAATGGTGTCCTTCTTGCTAAGATAAGCTGGAGAATCCTAAAAAATTATGATAGCTAAATACTGCAATTCAGCCTCCTTCCTTAATAGCTCAGTACCAAACTAATCCTCTCATAGTTGGAAAGGGATAATGATTGGCAAGGATTTACTCAAAAGGAAATTAGGAAAGTCTATTGGTAATGTTCACACAACCAACGTGTGGATAGATCCCAGGCTTTCTCTAAAAATCCCTCTGCAACCTAAGGGTCCAATTGCCAAAGAAGATTTGGAGTTAACTATCTCCAAGTTGATCTTGCCTAATTATACGGATTGAGATCTGGAGAAAATCAGAAAAATAATCTCTGCCTATGAACATGCAATCTTAATGCTAAAACCAAGCTTACTATGTGCTAAGGACAATTATGTTTGGTTGGAGACGTCATCAGAAACCTACAAAGCTAGCTCCGGATATCACACAACAAAAAGAAAAATCCAAGCCACATACCTCTCTCTAAAGTGGAACCTAATTTTAACTGGAATGCTGAACATTGGAACATTAAAACTTCCTAAAAACTCAAACTTTTCCTCTGAAAAGTGATGAATGGAGGAGTTGTGCCCTTGGGTGAACAACTTGCTACTAGAGGCATCAATCAACAAGCACGATGGAATTAATTATCCTCAAG